CGCGGTCCCGCCCCGTCCCCGCCCCGCAGCCGGGTGCCGCCCGCTCCGGCCTGGGACTCACCTCCCGCTGCAGCTTCTCCATCTGCTCCAGGTAGTCCCGGCGCTCCTGCTGACGTTGGGCCAGCTCCTTTCTCGCCAGGACCTTCCGGAAGGCACACTGGATGACGAAGGCCGCTCTGTCCTCCGTGGTCGGCGCTGCCGTGCGGACAGGGTGCGTGGGTCCCGGGCCCCTCCGTGTCGCCCGCCCCGCGTGAGCCCGCGCTCCAGGTTATCTTGGTGAGCGCAGTGGCTGCCCTCCCTCCTCACCTGACCGAAGGACCAAAAATGTTCTAAAAGCCAGAAACACGATCAGGCCAGAATAATCCACCAGCAGGGAGCAAATGAGGAGGCGTGAGGAGTGGCTGCCGAGACCCAGATCCGGAGAGAGAAGCCCGGCCCCCTGACCTTCCCCACCCCGGACGCGGCTGGGGGCCTGCAGACACCCGCTGAGCCCCAGGCTCGGGGACACAGGCTGGGGGCGCTGGCAGGAAGCCAAAGCAAGGCAGAAAAGCGGCCTCAGGCAGGAGTCCTTGCTCATCCCCACACAACCCCTGCCCTCTGAAAGCCAGGAGGATTCCTGAATTCAGGCACCTGCATCCAGAGACAGAAGTGGGGTCTCAACCCACAGTCCCACTGGAACTGGAAGAGGGAGCCCTGACTCGCACACTTGGCCACAGTGGAGGGTCCACACCCACCTGCCACTCTCTGCCCATGTGATGTGGTGACCAGTTAAACTCTCTGGGTCTCAGTGCCCCCTTCTCTAAAAGGGGGTGATGGTAGTTATGCCCCACAGAGCTTTCCAACAGTCCAATAGTAGAACTTCACGAGTCTGGGCAGTCAGCAGCTGCTCAACCTGTGTTTCTGTAATTAAGACTCAGAGCAGCGGGCGAACCAGCGGGGAGAGGGTGCGGACACAGCAGGAGGGGCACAGCCTCCAGAACGTGCTGGGAGGAAACAAGCAGCAAGGCCAGCTCCCCACAAGCCGGGAGGAACTCACCAAAAGCAAAACTCACTAGGACAAGGGGTCAAAGACAAGACAGGAGAAAGGACAAGGAGCTAAGTAAATATGAGAGTCATCGTGGAAACCAGGACCAATGGAACACACTGGTCAGTTCTGCAGAGCAGCAACTAAAGCTGAAGCAGCCGGACGTAGAAAGGACATGGTGGAGATGTGTTCAGGGCAGGGGGGAAGGGCTGGGGGGTCTCGGTGAATGCGGACAAGGAGATGGAAACCAGAAGGAGGGAGGCGGACAATGACCAGAGCAGGTAAGAAGGATGCGTGTCTCTAGAATGCGGAGACTGGTGACAGTACAGACTGCTCAGAGGTAAAATACAAAGGAAATTTCCTGAAATGACTCTTACGACAAAGGGGACAAAGAATGTAGCAGGAAACAAAACAGCTGGCATCAGACGCCCTGGTTAGATTGCTGAAGCTTTAAAAAAAAAAAAAAAGGTATTCAAGCCCCCAAGTAGAGGACGAACTGCAACTGGGTTCTCCTAAACTTTTTACAGTGACACTGAATATGAAAGTCAATGACGCAGCGTTCACAAAACTCCAGGGGAGAAGAGCAGCTGGAGAAGCTCCTACATGTGGCTCCGCTTATTCCCTGTGGTCACAGTAGAAAAGACAGAATGATATGTTGTCAAATGCGTGTCTGAAGGCCCCACTCAGACGCAAGGGCAGTGAGGAATTGCAGGCCAAGAGGAGGGGCTGCAGGAACGGTCCCTGCCCAGCTGATGGGCTCCCCACAGGAAAAAGGCCGCCAGGGCCCCAGCACAGCGCCCGGGGAGGGCCACGACTCAGGGACAGGGGACAAACTTTGTAATCCAGAGTGCTGGCTAAGGCTTTGAGTTTAGGGTTGCCAGATTTAGCTAATGAAAAAATACAGACCTTGATTTTGAGGACCATACACTAACAAATGATGCATTATTTATCCGAAATTCAAATGTAAGTGAGGGTCCTATTTTTTTTAACTTTATTTCCTTTTTTTTTTAATTGAAGGTACTGGGGATTGAACCCAGGATGTTGCACATGCTAAGCATGCGGTCTACCATTTGAGCTACACCTGTCCCTGAGGGGCCTGTATGTTATCTGGCGTCTTTATTGGGTCAGAGCCCTGAAGAGCTCCACCCTTCGGGAAATGAAGGAGCCCTCATGGGAACGGGAGTCCAGCCTCAGATCATGGCACCCCTGACGAGACAAGGTACCCTGGACGTGCCCATACCCCTGACACCCACCAGGGACAAAGCGAGTGTCCTCTGGGGGACGCCGACGCTGTCCAGAACTTCAACACGCCTCCAGCAGTTTTCATGAGCAATGTGCCCTGCCTGAAAAACCATCCAGCTCCTGAGGAAACGTGACTGCAAAACAGAAAATGATGAACAACAGAAAAAGCCCCAGATGCAGCCCACGGTGGACTCCTGAACACTGACTTTACAATCATTAGGAGTGATGTGTTCAAGGAATTAAAAGACAAGACTGCAAAGTTTGGGCAGAGAACTAGAAACAGTAATAAAGAACCAAGTGGAAATTCCACAACATAAAAATACAAAAACAAATTGAGAGCTCAATGGATAACAGAATAGACGTAACTGAAAACAGGACCAGTAGCCTGGAATACGGTCCAAATGAGCACATCCAGATTAAAGACTGTGACACAAGGAAAGGTCTGATGCAGAGGTCACTGGAGTCACAAATGTGAGGGAAAAAGAGGATGGTTGCAACGTTCAGAGAGATTTTTTTCAAAACTGACAAGAGATCAAGTCACAGCTGTGATGCCCATGAAGAATCCCAAGCAGGATGAGCTGGTGCACACGCACGCCAGAGCACACCATGGTGCAACTGTCCCGAACTAAAGACAGAGGGAAACCTTGTTTACCCCTTCAAAAGGGTAAGACCCTGC